TATAGTTTGGAAATTCTGGTATCATGTTGATGTGAGATATTATTTTATGGCTGTTATGCTGCTCTTTGTTTAGTTTAGTTAGCTGTGACTCCCATGCACTGGCACAAGCATTTATATGAAACAAATTACTTGTTTTAAGAGATGTCTTTTTTTCCTCTGGCTCACCAGCTGTTCCAATCCGCAGTGTTAAAGAATAGAAGCTTGCCTATATCTAAATAATATTGATAGATATGTAGATAAAGTAACTGTTTGACTTCAGATAAAACAGTTAAAATGAAGATCAAGGCCTTTGATTTATGTTTTATTCTTGTTACTCCCTAGTCCAGGATTTCCCAAACTTTTTTTCAGCCATGGCGCTCTACGGGGTCCTGAAATTTTGGTGGAGGCCTTAAAATATTATTTTTAATTCAGTGGGTACCCAAATAAATGAACAAAGTTTTGGAATTCTATTTTTATTTCTTGTATATTTCTTATATATATTTTTAAAGAAAATGATAATAAAATTAGTATCAAAATAACAGAGTCATACAAATATCATAAATATTTTCTCTCTATTTCCCCTAGAGACCCATAGCCCTAGGGCTCCACTGAGCACACTTCAGAAAATCCTGCCCTAATCTTTCTCTAGTCCAGTGTTTCCTAAATGGTTTTCCGGGGAACCCTGGGGTTCCACGAAGTGAAAATAAGGGTTCCGTGAGAAAATTCCATTACAATAACATGTTATTATTAAAAAAATAATAATTAATAGTAAGCATTTATGAATTTTATTGAAAACAATTTTCATTTGTGTCGATCTCATGACCTTGTTTAGCATTTGTTTATTATTATCCTTACTTATTCGTGGTCTACTTTTTCAGCTCCATATATAATACTGTTATTAGGGGTTCCACAAAATTCTTTTGAGTTTAAATAGGTTCCGTGGCCAAATAAAATTGGGAAACACTGCTCTAGTCACATACCAGCAAGCCTAGCTGCAGACACTTGAAGGCCTGTTGTAGTCTGAATGGTTACTTATGTTGGCTTGGCAGTTACAAAGAAGGACTGTGTTTCTGTTGAAATTCAGGCTGCCTTGGGCACCAGCTTTCAAAATAACCACCCCCCCCCCAAAAAAAAAACCCTACACCAACAAAAAAAGCCTTAAGTTCCAGTGGCTAGTGCCATCCAGAAAGTGATATTTTTGGGACCTCAGCCATGCCAGAGGAACTCCAGAGATTATTTGACCAGTTTGAGTTGTCATTATAATAGAAGGATATTCATCAAATCATAAGAAGTAGCATTCTTATTTGCATAGCAATTTTATTTTGTGTGTTGCTGAGTCTGTGCCACCTTCTGTTTTCTTACTTAATAATATGAATTCTCAGCCTACAATGACATTGCTGGAACTGTGTAAGGTGTCAAGATACATGACAGGTTACAGCTCTTGCATATAAAACTTTACAAATTTGTCTAAATGAACAATAGATATTTAAAGACCAGGAATTCTACACACAATTACAGAAGTATAAAAGGACAAATATTTTGTGGGGAAGTCTCTATTTCAATTTACATCAATTTCCTCTTAACGTATTTTATAATTATTCTTGATTTCTTTTACATGTTATGTGTAAAATGTTATCAGATCAGAATGGTAGAATTTTACACCAGCTTTGCACTAATTTGTAACAGGGATGTAATGGTGTAGTCAATTAATCGATAAGCAAAAACTTATCAGTAAATGCTGTACACTACATGCATTTCCCTCTCTTCCTCCACCAGCAAATATTTTAGCAGTCTGCCCATCATCCTGGCTTAGTCCTGGCTTGCAATAGGTCCAGGACCTCCCCCTGCTGCAGCTCTGCATTTAAAGTGTATTAGGAGCAAGGCGGGCAGGCAGCCTGGCTCAGTCCTTCCTCATGGTAGGTACAGAAGCTACCTCTGCTGCTGCTCTACGTTTAAAGTATATTAAGAGCCAAGCGGGCAGGCAGCCTGGCTTAGTTCCAGCTTGCACCAGGTCCGGGAGCTCAGACACACCCCTCCCCAGATGGGTTGCTGCCACCCCATGCTGCTGTCTCTCTACCAGGGGCAGCAGCACTGGGTGACAGGCAGCCAATCTGCGAAGGGAGCTGGTTTTTAAATTGGCTCCCCTCACTTACCAGTTCCTGCCTGGCACTCCATGGTGCTGCTTCTGATAAAGTGGGCAGCAGCATAGAGTTGCAGAAGGCTCCTTGAGAGTGGGGCCTGAGCACACTAGCTGCTGGCCCTGCCCCCAGGGACTATAGAATAGTCGACTAACTGATTAGAATTCATGAGGTTACTCAACTAATCAATTAATCGATATTTAACATCCCTAATTTGTGATGAAGTCCTGGCTGAGTTATCTGTGGGTTTTGAACTGAAGATCCCTGGGTCTTAAACCACAGATCTCCAGTACTTGAGCTGAAGGACCAGTAACAGTCACTGAAATTGTGTCCAGATATTTAATCTCAACGGTTGTAGTATGTTCAATAAAAGTCTGTGCTTAGTCTAGCCAGCAGAGGGAGACAGCCAGCCATTAGGTGCAGTTTATATTCTGCACACATGTAAATAACTGTACAATATGCAGTATAATGGAGAATTGGGCTCAGTCTGTGGTATGCTGGATGCCTACAAATACACTTTGAAATAGACTTTTGAATGTTTAATCATGGCATTAAATATTTGGAAGAACACTTTTAGAACAACTTGGAACTAAATAGGATCAGTTAATGTGTACAGTACTATAGCAGTATGTTTGAGGGTCTTATAATTAGAGGGTGGTGCTCATTATGGAAGGGAAACAAGTCTAATGAATGAAATAAATGGAATCTTGAAGAATCACTTTTTCTGAAGTATCGAGAGAAGGGTAAAAGTCTTTTGTAAATTCCAACTCGCAGTATGTTCTTTTAATCCTTTTTCTCTCCCTCCCTCCCCCAGAAAATCCCTAAAAAGTATTTGATTTTAACTTTGTTCTTGGGAACAGTTAGCCCTGCGTATTGGATAGGGATTTGTCACTCTTAATAAAAGAACCCAAATTATGGTGTCTGGTGAAATTAGTGTTGGTTAAGAAGAATATTCTTCACACACAAGATGGAATCCTTTAAAAAAATGTCTTTATAGGATTAAGGTTTCCGCAGTTGGCCTAGGTTGCTATGTTTTCTTCTATGTGTAGTATATGGAATGTATTTATCAGGTTCTTCTCTCTTTTTAAAACTTATTTAAGTGCTGTCTTGTAAAATGGTTGTTGTGTACTTGATATCAGTTTTCCTCGGATTTCTTTTTCACTGTCTGATCACAAGCTGATGAATTAAACAGGCATCTTGGAGATTACTACATAAGCCACATATTATATATAAAATCCTTTGTTTCTTCATTTGGCACATTTAACATTTTGTTTCATTTCAACACAAAAATAAACCCCAGGTGGTGACCTTAGCTACAAGCCACTCTATTTTCTGGGCAGCTGCTGCTACATGCTGCCTGTCAGACAGACAGGGCTAGGTCATGGTTACCAGAGGACATCCTTATGGTCATAACCAAGTTGTAAATGTCACTAAGATTCTTTCTGAATGTCTGTCACATGTGTGTCACTGATTCTGAAGTAGATAGAATGAGCCAAAGATTCATTTGGGAGCTGGGACTCCCAGAAGATTACTTTTAACGTAGAATAGCAGAAGGAGTTGTGACATGCATCCATAAGCAGTTGTAGTGATTTGACAGTTATTTAGCCCTCAGTCACTAGCCCTTTGGTTGAACTGACAGCACGCCTGCAAAGATAGTGAGGCCTGTTTCAGCCCCATTAATGTCGTCTTGAATGTGAGCCTGCAGTCTGGAAAATGATAAATGTTCAGTGATTGATGATTTTATAGTCCCAGGGGATTCTGGGTGGTTTCTGGTTGCTGTGAGCCTGAGCAATTTTCTCCCCTTGCTTGGAGCTCTGCTTTAAATTTCTGTAGCCTTTATTATGAGAAAATTTTAAAGAATTGAATAGCTAGACACTTGGAGTTAAGCAAAGTTTTACTGAATATTATGCAAAACTGTGATTATGAAGCACTTGTAATTTTGAAGGCAAGATTCTATTCTGCTGCACTGTAATCCTTTAACAAGATATACGTATGACCAATCTCTGTGGTGAACAGCATTTTCCTAGCTGTTTCCTCAATATTGTTTGAAAAAGTTGAAAGCATTCTGACCTACATGGAAGGAAATTTAATAATTGCCTTAATGGAACAATATGTGCAGCCTGAATCATTAAAGGGGTTGCTACATCTATTGCTTGTTCTCCTCATGGTTCCGGAGCAAGCTATCAGATAAGCCAATACTTCCTGTTGACACAAGTCATCTTTCCAAACATATTTGGTTAGCTACATTAATGTTAGAAAGGGTGCAAATAATTTTTGCATTTGGATGGTTGTTTGGAAGACAGGTGGCAGAACAGGGTTTCTCAGCTGAATCAGTTCTTGTAAGCAGACCTGTTGTAGATGAAGAATGGCATTTAATGCTTAATAACACTAAAATGCCTATTAATCTATAACCTTAATTTAGTTTTCCAAGGGGGAGCAGTATTTCCTCTTCTTGGTGACAGAAATACATTTTTTTCCTCATGCCAGACCTTGTACCTGAAAATGTCAACAGAAACCTTTAAACAGACTCAATAATAATTTAAGCCTAGCACTATACATTTCTTGAGAAGCAATAGTGCTGTAGCTGCACCAAAAAATTAAATAGTTCTGTATTTATTAAATTTTTGGAAACTTTATCAATGGAGACACATCTTATAAGGCTGAAAAATGATGTATCCTCTATTCCAGTGGGATGGGGAGAGGAGTCAAACAGTATGAAATACGGGCAGAGTGTGTTTTCCACAAGATATTCAGACTTTAAAGCCAACTTTATGATGAATGACCAATTGCAACTCTATACATTTAATTAAGAGAGTGTCATTACACTCAATTAGCAGGGCTGCCAAATAATCTGTTTAATACTCTGGGTTTTTTTTTCCTTAGGGTTTTGCAGACAGTCCTCATTATGGTGATCACTTGAATGACAGTCGATTAGGGCCCCATGAAGGATTGTCCCCGACACCTTTCATGAACTCGAATCTGATGGGTAAGTAGGTAATTCCTTGTGAGTAGGCCCTAAAAGCTTCTTTGGTCAGAAAGAGATATTTTTTATCCCAGTTGTCTAGGCCTGGCACATCAAGCATCTGGAAGTTACTGCATTTCTTGTGGTAACTATCTAAATCTTTTTACATAGAGGAAGATGCTCCAAAATGCAGCTTTCTGAATGCAAGAGACATGATCCATGATTTTGGAAAGAGGCTGAAGTGTCAATATTTTAGATAGTTGATTTAGAATGGTAGGGATAAACTGATTTCTTAAAGTCTTGAAGACAAAGCACCTGTAAAGACTGATTTTAAGTTAGTTTGTTTTTCCTACTGCAAAAATTTAGAATATTTGTCACTCCTCTGCACTTTCTAAGAAACTTAGGTGTTTGTTTCTAAAAATTGAGAATGCTGATTTACCTGTTTACTGTAGATAGTTTTCCAGGTAACACTTTACTGTTGTCCTTCTCATTGTTCGCTTGCATATTCTCTTTTCAAATGTCAGTTTCTTTGGTGATATTTGCATTTGATATCCTAGCAAAATTAAGATTGTAACATGCAGCATAGATTCCTTTTGATATATGGTGATTTACATACATACAGTAACTCTAGCTGTGACTGTTTCAATGCCTGTGGTTCCCCCCAGCCTTTGCTTTTGAAACTCAGAACATATGTCAAACTGGGAAGAAAGCGACACATGATCAGTCTAACTGTTGAATAAGTTGTTTTTGTGCCTAAACACCATTATTGCTAGAACACTTTAGTGTACTAATGGTTGTCCCTTTTCCACTTCTGAGCTTGTGGCCTAAAAATATCAATTTCAAATATTTACTGTTTGGCAGAGCATTGTCTTGGTGCAAATGCTGTCTAGTTTGTGCCTTAAATTTAGCGTTGGTTCTGTCATTTGCTTTGGATGTGTATAGTTACATAGTTTTACTTATATATTTTGTTTCTTGCGTATGTGACCTATTTTGTGATCTTAGTATTGTCCTTTTAAGACACAGCCATGCTAATCTAAGTGGATTAACTAAATCCAAATCCTGGTGGTCTGCAGTTTCTTTTGGAAATCTTTTTACTTTGCGCTGTCTTTGTTTACTACTGCAAAGTATAGAAGCAGACAGTCAGATACCACAATGTAGCTATTCCTAAAAGCAGATATCATTTTAACCCTCACTTATGAATCTCACAGTATATTACTGCGCTTTTAAAATAACTGTGTGTATGTTTGTGTATATATCTGAAAATATATAGCCCATATCAATAGATCAGTAGTGCTATATTTGAAGATCAGTGAAGTCAATGAAGTTTGTGGTGTGCTATTAGCATGCCAGGAGAAAAATATTTTCCCTAATTGTTTCATATAACAATCAGATTTTTTCTTGGCCTCAGGTTGAAAAGAGATGTATCTAAATGTATTTATTGCATGAGCAAAACACCGATCAAGGGTATATATGGCTTTTTAGTCACATGTTTTAATGCTTTTCTTTGCTTTATTTCTACAAAATGATTATATTACATAGCAGGTTTAGATTTAAATAGGTAGTGCAAAAGAAGGAGACACTTCATGAGTCCTTGTTTTGTGTTGAACCATCCATTTCCTAAATTAAGTAGAATTTTAAATAAGCATAGAAATTATTGGCCTTACTGTATCATCCTAGCTTTTCAGTTTTACTTAAAATGACTAGATGATTCTATTAAACATAATGGAATTACATCATTAGTACAGATTTGAGAAGAAGCCTCCATTGAGATTGCTTTGAAGAGGGAATTAAATGAATCCTAAGAGGTATGCATATCAATCACTTGCTTGTAACAGCTGTGGACTAAAATATTTTTGTAATGCATTACAGCTAATGCTTCTCTCTGGTTTTGTCTCCATTAGAGCTATAGTCTTTAATTTCTGTCTATCTAAAGGACACATTCTAAAGTTCGTCTCCATGAATGAATACCCCAGAGCCATAAAGTAGTGTTTAAAAATATGCCAGCAGGATTTACTATTTTGCATAATTTGCAGAAAATAACTTACATTCATTTTGTTTGCAAGGCATTGTAAAAAGGTGCAACTCTGTGTACCCTTGCCTCTTCATTGTGAATTATAACTAGCAAAGCCTTAAAGAGATGTTGAACACTAGAAGGAAATGAAAAAAGTTACTTGTATATGGTGAAAATGATTTCATTATTCAATACTGAATTCAATATTGGTATCTGAATTATTGTGTTTGTCTCTTAACTTAAGTAAAAATGAAAAATGATAGCTTTCAACTAAAACTATAGTTCTTAGACTCTTCAGGGGGTAGCTGAGTTAGTCTGTATAGGTAAACTGAAAAAAGAACAAATAGTCTGGTAGCACTTTATAGACTAACAAAACATGTAGATGGTATCACGAGCTTTCGTCTGAAGAAGTGGGCTGTGCCCACAAAAGCTCATGATACCATCTACATGTTTTGTTAGTCTATAAAGTGCTACCAGTCTATTTGTTGTTTTTTCAGTTCTTAGATTGTGATGTTAGATTGACTAGATAGCTGACAATAGTTGTTCTTGGTTAGAAGAATCTCCCAAATTGCAGAACCATTCCACCCACAAAAACCAATACATTTTTGAGATAATGTGTTGAATACATAAAGATTATAGGACTGGCAGTAACCTCAAGAGGTCATCTAGTCCTAGTCCTCCTGTACCCATAGCAGGACTGAGTATTAAAGATGTGCATTTATAGAGTAGGACAAAGTTATTCTAAAATGTTACAGTTTAGACATTTCATGATTTGGGAAGTAAAAGAAGAGTTGCCTTGAGAATGTGAACTTGAATGCTTGTTTGAAAGATTTAATTAGATTAAATGGGATTGTACTTCAAAATGGGTGTTTATTATAATATGGCTGAAATAGATAAAACTAGTAGAAAGAGCAAAATCATCTTTCACCATTGCTGTCAACACTTAAAAACCCCATTATAAAGAAAGAATGGTACGTCAAGGGGATGTTGTTGTTTTGTATATTATGTTCAGCCATACACATATTTGCCTGGAGAGATAAAGGATTATAAAGTGCCACTGTCTTTCATGATGGAGCTCTCAAACACTTTAATGATCTTGTACATTGCAAGAGAGAGAAATTTTGTCTAACAAGAGTTGATAATGATTCAATAATGAACAATTTGCCACAGAAAGATGCATTTCCATATTCATTTAGATATTTTAGAATGTTTTGCAGAGGAAATAAAGCTATTATGGTGGATCAGTTAGTGCACCTTACTAATGAATTCCAAAATTATCCTGTTGATTTCTCAATGTGCAAAAGAGGTCATTTCTTGTATTTTAAGTTAAACTAGTGAATCCTCTTGGCACCTCTGTATGCCATTATTATACAGATTTGTACTGTACAAAATCAGACTAAAATATATGAGCGATAATGTAGACCAGTTTAGAGCTAATCTTTGTTTATTCAACATTTAATGTTTTAAATTACATTCTAGAAAAATATTTACAAGAAAATGAAAGTTTTTTTCCCAATTGTAAGAGCAAGAGCCTTGCTAAACTCACCTCTTTTTGCACTTACATAAGACTTATAACAATATAGTTCTGTATTGTCTGTGTCCTCCCCTCATCTGAAGATCCTTGCCCTTAGCTGTTTAACTCCACTTATCAGGAGATAGGAGGAGGGGAAAAACTCATCTGGGTTGTATGTGAGGTGCACAAGACAGTTTGTTTACTGTTGCCCAGGTGCAGGGTTGCCAGATTCTGCTGGTTTCTGTCTGGGTAGGTGGTTTTCCTATTGTTGTAACTAAAGTGACATGCACGTAAAGCCAGGGCAAATGATGTAAGGTGCATGCTGATTGAACACAACATTTACTGTAAGAGCCATGCACTCCCTTTGAATCCCATCAAAGCACTGCTATAGTTCAGTTGGCACATCCCGCAAATTCTGGGTACACAAGCATAGTTAGCACAACTACTCTATCCTGGGATGCTATCTTGGTTATGATAATCTTGCAGCCCACTGAGATGGAGGGCCACTCGTGTGGCTCGCTTGCTAGCCTAGATTGCCCATCACTAGTCTAGAGGGTGGTTGGTCCTGTCATGCGTGCAGAGGACTGAACTTGATGAGCTTTTGAGGTCCTTCACCATCTGACTCAGATGTCACCAGTGAAACACTGATTTTCTTTTCTAATGGTTTGGGTTATGTAGTTTCCACATCAGGGTGTTGCTCTTTTAGGACTATTGAAGGCATGCTCCACACCTCATGCTTCTCAGATTTTGGATGGCACTTCAGATTCTTAAACCTTGGGCTGAGTGCTGTAGCTAACTTTGGAAATCTCACATGCGTACCTTCTTTGCATTCTGTTGAATCTGATGCAGAAGTGTTCTTAAAACAAATTTGTTCTGGGTCATAATCCAAGACTTCTATAACATGAAATACATGGCAGAATGTGGGTAAAACAACAGGAGACATACAATTCTCCCTAAGGACTTCAGTCACCATTTTTTTTAAATAAGCATCATCAGCATAGAAACATGTCTTCTGGAATGGTGGCTGAAGCATGAAGTGGTATACTAATACTGAGCATATCTGTCACCTTGCAGTGACAGTGACAAAAATGCCATGTGAATGCCTATTCTCACATTCAGATGACACCATAGAGAAGAAGCAGGCAGCATCCCCCATAAATGTAAACAAACCTGTTTGTAATAGTGATTGGGTGAAGAAGAGGTAGGACTCGGTGGACTTATAGGTACTAAAGTTTTACATTTTTGAGTACATTTATGTAACAAATTCTACATTTGTAATTTACACCTTTGCTGTAAAGCTATTGCACTTCAATACTTGTATAACGTGAATTGAAAAATACGATTACTTTTTATCACTTTAACGGTGCAAATATTTGTTATAAAAATAATATAAAGTGAGCACTGAATACTTTGAATACAATATTGTAATAGAAATCAATATATTTGAAAATGTAAAAAAATCCAAAATATTTAATACATTTGAATTGGTAGGCTATTGTA